TTCTCTTTTTTAATGATCTTTTCTATCATGGAACTTGTGTTTGTGGGTTTTATCTGCTTGTCGTGTGCGTCCCTCATTTTGTTGTGTGGTGTTTTTGTTGTTGATGTGTTCCCTCCCGTGTGTTTTTGCCCCTGGTTTCTCGTCCTTCTTTCTGCATACCTCCTCTCACACCCCTCTCCTCTGTCTGTCTGTCCATCTGTTTTTGTGATGTGACCCCCTCACCCCTCACCCCCCCTCCCTCCCAGAAGACACGGACTCCCTCGGTCGGACAAACTCAGGTCTGTCCTTTCTTCTGCTTTGCCTTTTTTGTTTTCCTCCACGCCGTGTCCCAGCTCCTCTCTGTTTGTCGCGCTCCCGTTCAGGAACAATTCACCCAAAAATAAAAACTGATTTGTCATCTAGAGAATCTTAGACGAGCTAATGGATATTCCAGCAGGTCAGTGAGCAGTGTGAATATTAGGGTTAATCTCACAAAGAACATGTCTTTTCAATGGAAGCTTGTTTCCGTACATGGTATAAAAAAAAGAAAAAAGATGATTGCAGCTTGCAAGTTTATATTCCGTAATTCCTACTTCTTTTCTCAGAATTGTGATTCATAAAGTCCAATTCTGAGGAAAAAAAGCTCACCATTCTGATATTTTCTCACAATTGCGAGTCACCATTCTGACTTTATAACTCACAGTTGATAGTTTAAAGTGCGCAATTCTGAGAAAAAAGAATTGCAATTGTGAAAAAAACAATTGTGAGAAAAGAAACTCTTATTTAGCTTTTTTATGTTTAATTCAGTAGCAGAAACAAGTTTCCATATGTTTCCCCTCCAATTCAAAAGAAAAAATTAGAACTGATTTAAGTAATGAGATTTGGGCACTGTGTCAGTGCAAAATATCTTAATAGTACAAAAAAAAAAATTTATATACATGTGTGTGTGTTAATTAAAAAGGCTTAATTTTCTTTTAGTAAATTATATTAATATATTAAAACATTATTTTTTAAATTAATTTTATATAAATTATAATATGCATTAAAAATAATATAAATCAATAATATTAATAACGGAATACGATATCAATTAGAATACACTTTTACATATATTGTGTATATAGAGCTGGACATTTTTTGACACGCTTTGTGAGATTCAACCATTACCAGTTTGCACTGCAGTACACAGTTAAATCTATTCAAATCTACAGTAGCTGTTATCATTTTTCTATGTTGTAATGAGTGTAAAAACCATAGAGGAGTAAATGCTGGGACTGTGCCTGAAAAGCGAACACCATCTCTTTCTGCTGTTTGGTTGTCTTCACTGGCTTTTAAATCCATCACTCCTTCTCTCTGCCCTTTTTTTATGAGTGTTTTATTCACCTAGTTTCTTTATTGCAAATCGTAGGAGTTACTGTTTGCTGTGAAGCTCCTGAGCTTCCTTATCAGCTCTAGTCATAATCATGTGTGATTATGATCGTGTGTTATTTTAAAAACATTTCAAAATAGTGGCGTTCATTGAGTGATAAAATACTTTTTCAGCAGCCTTGGTTCTGGAATTATTTTTCCCAATCATGTTCTCCATAGGGACTTCAAAAAAAAAAAAAAAAGAATTAACATCAGAAACTGTGTTTAAGACTGTGTGTTTAATGTCTTTTGTGAGCACTGAAACATTCTTAATGACATAATTGAATCAAGCATGGTACACAAGTCATTTTAACTTATTGTTAACAATTATAAAACAATAGATATGAAAATTATTCAAAATATTCCTATATTCTCTCTACTATTCAAAAGTTTGGGATCAGTACGATTTTTAAATGTTTTCAAAAGAAGGATCTTATGCTGACTAAAGCTGCTTAAAAATATAGTAAAAACAGTGAACTATTGTTACAATTTAAAATGACTGTTTTCTATTTTATTGTATTTTAAAAATGTAATTCCTGTGATTTTCAGCATCATTACTTCAGTCTTCAGTGCCACATGATCCTTCAGAAATCATTCTAATATGCTGATTTTTTTAAATTTTTTTTTATTTTTTATGAATAAATGTATATTATATATTTGAAGTAGAACTCTTGTAACAGCAAACAATATTGCCATTTAGAGTTTCATCATTTTGATCAATTTTAATGTGTCCTTGCAGAATAAAAGTAATAATTTCTTTCAAAAACAAACATTCTTAACCCGAACCTTTTGAACAGTATTGTATATATACAAATGTAAGCTGTGTGAGAGTTTGAGACTGATTGTTTTTTGTCATTCATAATGTTTTATTGCAGTGGGACAGTCAATGATGAGCTTTTTTTTTATAGAGATTTTCATTTCCACAGTACATGATCCTTCAGAAATCATTCTAATATGCTGATTTTTTTTTATTTTTTTTTATTTTTTATGAATAAATGTATATTATATATTTGAAGTAGAACTCTTGTAACAGCAAACAATATTGCCATTTAGAGTTTCATCATTTTGATCAATTTTAATGTGTCCTTGCAGAATAAAAGTAATAATTTCTTTCAAAAACAAACATTCTTAACCCGAACCTTTTGAACAGTATTGTATATATACAAATGTAAGCTGTGTGAGAGTTTGAGACTGATTGTTTTTTGTCATTCATAATGTTTTATTGCAGTGGGACAGTCAATGATGAGCTTTTTTTTTATAGAGATTTTCATTTCCACAGTAACGGTGCATTTTTTGATTAGTGGATCTCTCCTAAGAATGATGGGTAATTTGGCTATTTAATGCTATTTTATATAAATGAAATTGAATCACACTACTTTGTTGTTTAAAATGAATTTCTCTATGGAGAACAGGAATGGGATTTTTTACCTCCTGAACCCGTTCTTGGTTATGGCTTGAGCTAATGAAGCTGGCTTCTTGACAGCATAAGTGCAGATATATCACATCGTAGCTATTTTCAGAAGGTGTTAATGTCAATTTCAGTTTTATTTGCATCAACTTTCATCCTTTTTTTTAATGGGGTGCCCCCCACCCCCCAATCTATCTTTGAACAACTTTAAAGCAATAGAGAGAGTTTAGAGAATGAAGTGTGTTGTATGGTTTTGGCATTGCAGATATCTAAACTTTTGAATACGGATTGACTTTGAGGAAGGTTTCCCATGCTGCAAAGCTTTCTGAAAGTGATTTCAGTTGTGAAGGTGGCATTAAGCTAAAAAAATATCCTACATGTATGAACTTTACACTATAGCGCTGCAATTAAATCCAATTAATCTAATGATTCTGAGAGCACTAATCATTGGGTAATTTGCTGAACATGTTAATTACTTAACAGCACAATTGCTATTGGAAAGAAAAAATTGCTAATGACATTTATGGCACCTGCGCCGACAAAGACGGGTGTAGTTCTTGTAGTTGCTTGTGCAAACGGGCTGCTTAGTTGTAGCTTGTTGCTTTGCAGTCGGAAAGGTTTCAGACATTTATATGACTTTTTGCTATACGAACAAACATCAAATTGTGCTTTAAACCCAAAATTAGTCTCAGTATTAGTCTTAGTATTACAGAGACTCGGGCCAGTAAGGATCCACCCTAGAAACTGTATAGTAACATGCTGAAAACAACCTAGAATACCCTTGTAACTGCTTACCCTAGCGACCAAATAACATGTTAAAAACCCACCGAACACCCTAGCACTGCATAAAAACATGCTACTGTCTCATAAAACACCCTAGCAACCATTTAGAGTACCCTAGCGACCACATAACATACTAAAAACATTTAGAACACTAAGGCCCGGTTTCACAGACAGGGTTTAGCCTAAACCAGGATTAGGCCATAGTTCAATTAGGACATTTAAGTCATTTTTATAAACGTGCCTTTGAAAAAAACATTACTGGTGTGCATCTTGAGACAGGCACTGATATATTTTAAGATCAGTCAGTGCAAGTTTCTTTCAGTTGAAACTTGCACTTTAGTCTAGGACTAAGCTTAAGCCTTCTCTGTGAAACCGGCGGAAATGTATTTAGTACTAAATTATACTAAACTCTAAAATATACCACAAAATAATTTAATTGAACTTTGCACATGCACTTAATATATTTTATGCTCTGATTTATTAATAGTGAATGATTCTTTAACATTCAGATGCGGTAAAGTGTGTGTCAGGTTTGTGTGACTTGTGAAGAGTTTATTACACAAGCAAACTCTCATAAAAATACCTAAAAAAGATTAGTTAGCTTCTTGATTATTGAACACCGTACTGTCCCCTCTGTAATTTGCTACAATAATTTTATTTATATATTTTTTTCTTCTCTGTGCTGCATGATTTACAGTATGAAAATGTGTGGAGAAATTTACACAGCAGCTTCTTTAATAATGGTAACAGGCATTTCAATGTTTTTTTTTTTTTTTTTGATGGAACAGTTTGGTTTTAAACAGACAGATGTCTCATATGCTCAGATGGTAACTAAAGGGTTAGTTCACCCAAAAATGAAAATTAGCTTGTGTTTTACTTACCCTCGAAGCATCCTAGGTGTATATGACTTTCTTCTTTCAGACGAATCCAGTCGGAGTTATATTAAAAATTGTCTTTGATCTTTCAAGCTGTTTAATGGCACTCAGCGAGTGTTGCAGTTGAACAGTCCACAAGTCGTCAAATAAAGCTCGCGCATTCATAATAAAACGTGCCGCAGACGGCTCTGGGGGGTGAATAAAGGCCCCCTGTAGCGAATCCATGAGTTTTTGTAAGAAAAATATCCATATTTCAAACGTAATAAACACTTTTCTCTCACTTCCGCTGACTGTCATACACACTGAAGCCGTTCCGGCGGATGACGCAGCACGTATGCGCAGCCTCTGAGATATGCTAGTCTCGCGAGTTTGTGTATAAGAGCAAAGGAAGCAAAGTTTCCTTACTTTAGCAAAGGAAAACAAAGCGTTGTGCATTACTGTTGTAGATGGGAAAGATTTCTTTATTAAACCATTCCACCTCATTCAGACGCTTCATTAATGAGGCACTTTTTCAACAACCTTCCAAAAACGTCTGCTGTGATCCATAGGTGCTATGGATGTTGAGGAGCGGACGCGGCAGATGAAACTGAAGATGAACAAGTATAAACAGGGAACGGGCTCAGACTCCAGACTGGAACAGGACTATCACAAGGCAAGTAAATGTGGTCTACTGCTCCAGTTCTTAATGTGAAAAACTGTTCAAAACTAACTTTTTAAATGATTCAAATGGTTATACTATAGTTAATGTAAGTAAATGCTTCTGTTCATCACTCATTTAAACTCCGTTAGATAAATGAGTGTGTTTTCTTGTTTTCTAGTTGTAATATTTGTATTTCGAATCAATTTAACTGTTTAAGTTGCAGTCACGCTACTTGAGATCATCACAGTGAAATAATACTCCTGGTTGCTTGAATAATAATAATAATTAATATTTGTATTATATTTTTTTATTTAAATACTCTCCCTTTAAAAAATTTAAATGTTCACATAGACAAGGTCATTTTTGTTTTGATTTATTAATCTTAAAATATATGCATGCTTGTGTATGTGTATATATTTTATTTTATTTTATATCATTTTATTTTATTGTATTTTCCAAGCTCTTCTTTAACCCCCTTAAAAAGCATCAGTTTAGCTAGCTACTTTTTGCTTGTAGCTTTTAGTTTAGCTAACTAAGTTAATCTAGGTCCAGGTAGTCAGAAAAGCAGAGCACTTTTCAGCCATTCACAATGCTTATTTGAACTTAAGTGATCATAGATTAAACTTGATGTGTGTTTGGTGACCCACTTCCCGCAGTTGTGAAATTTTTATAGGTCTATATAGTCTTCCAGGTTTAGGGTCTCTGTTCAGGATATACATTAGTATTTGTGTACACAAGACATTGTGCTGAGATTCAGTGCCATATACAGCCATATCGCCTTCCCATTGTATCCTTTTAAGTGTGTGGTATGAAGCATTGTACAGGCCCATGAGTTCGGCAGGATTCTATTAAAAGCAGGTAAAGACTCGGTTTGTTTGGTCTGTCTGATAGAGGCGCCATTTAGGACATAATGTTTATAATCAGCATAGCGAGCCATGAGCAATTTATAAATAAATGTTACACAAGATCCCACAATACTGTACCTCTCCATGTCTATCCAAGAGAGAATAGCCAGGAATTCCTTAGTGTAAACGCAGTGGCTTTTCATTTTAATGATGCTTGTTGTCTTTTTTAGGGTACTTAAAATTTTTTTAAAAATTAAATAAATTTTTTTTTTGTTAAAAATTATGTATTTGTGCTTTTATCCAAAACAAGCTACTTTGCATTCAGGGTAAACATGTTATCAGTTCATGCATTCCTTGGGAATCAAACCCATATTGTACAGTTTGAGCTTAAGGAATGCTCATGAATTTATTTTTGAATTGTATTATTATTATTAGTCATGTATTATGTATTTATTTTTATATGAATTAATTTTTATTTATTTGTTATTGTTTTTTATTTTTATTTATTATTATTTGTTTGTTTGTTGATATTTTAAATTATTTTTTAATTTTATTTATTTATTTTGAATTTATTATTATTATTATTATTTTTTAATTATCATTTATTTTTGAATTATTATTATTATTGTTGTTGTTTATTTTATTTTATTTTTTATTATTGCTGCTGTTGTTATTGTTTTTTAATTATTATCATTCATTATTTTAATTAATTGTATATATTTTAAATTAAGCTCTTACTTTGTGTGAAATTTTTGTGCCACTAGCATGGAAGTAATGCATAGAAAAGTAACAATAGTTTCACATTACCCCCCAAAAAATCCTACCGTCATTTTTGCCCTTCTCCCCATTTGCTATTGGACAGATAAGTGAAAAAGAAAGCGCCACTTCGCCTCTAAGCCCTTTAACCCCTTTGTATTTTCTGTTTGTTGTCTGTAAGCACCTGACCGCATGTGTTGTGTTTGTTCTGCAGCGTTCGGGCAGGGATCCTCAGCGGGGAGAAATCCTCTCGGCCAAGTCTTCGGACAGTGATGTCAGCGACGTGTCCGCTGTGTCGAGAACCAGCAGTGCGTCTCGATTCAGCAGCATGAGCTACATCTCAGTCCAATCAGAACGGCCGCGGGGCAGCCGCAAGATCAGGTGAGACGGCCTCTTCTCGATTCAGGATCACTGTCAAACCTGTGCGTTACAGTTTAGTCCAGGTATAGTCCACAGCGAGGGCTGTTCTTTGAGGCCATGTACATACTGTGTTACCGCATTTATTTGCAGGAGTGAATTCCTCATGTTTTGGCGTCTCCTGGCTGTAAACAAGAAACATGGATGACAATAGTTTAACTAATAGTTAATAATAGTGTAATAGTTTGTTTTTTTGGACCAAACTAAAGTTACACTATTAAAGTATTTATTATTGAATGAGCTTTTTTTTTCTTTTTTTTTTCATATTTTCAGTTTTCATTTATTTATCTTTTATGTGATTAAACCATTTCTATTTATTTATTTTTATTTGTTTGTTTTTATATTTCTATTTAGCTTTATTTTTATTTCTATTTTAGTTTTAGCAATTTTAGTGCTTACTACTTTATATCCGTTTTTTGTTAAAATGTTTCATCTAATATTTATATTTTGTTATGTTTCAGTTTTATTTCAATATCTAAAATCATTTAAAAGTTATTGTTTAATACTTTTAGATTCAGTTTTAGTGAACAAATAACAACAATGCTGGAAAAACCATTATCATTTGGCAGTTATTAGTAAACCGAGGCACCATATTAATGCAAGTTTAGTCTCAGCCTCATGCGCTCATACCACGCACCGTTCGTTCATAGACCGTCATATGCATATTGCACACATAACTAGCAAAAGCTATCCAAAACCCTGCTGTTTTAATTTCATTGACCTGCTTCTAGGAACTGCCTTACCAGTCCGCCCGGAAACGTAGTCTTATTTACCCAGTTTATGCACCATTCAGAACTGAAAATGCCTTATTCCAGTTTCATTCCTGAAATTGAATTGAGAATGCAAGGAAGTTAAATTGAAATTCAAAGCAATTCATATGTGAAATAATCAATACTTACTGCTTGATGAACATTAATTTTAATGTTCCAACCTTAAATGTCTTAAATGGCTTCTAAAAACAAAACTGACTGTGGTTGGTCACTTCAAACAGTCTCTTTCAGTTAAAGTGGACAGTTCTTAGCCAAAATATTGGTCTGATTACATGAAAATTGAATTCTACATCAGTGCTATAAATATTGTTGGCTCTGTAATGAATTGCTTGTTATGTTTCTCATTTGTAAGTCACTTTGGATGTAAGTATCTGCTAAACTGGTATCCAAATTTGCGAATGGGTCAAGACGTATCTCACATCTGAATCTTCCAGATGTACATTTGGTTATAGAATGAGGTTATCGCTCCTATAAATACCTGCTGTGTGCAGAACAGGATTAAGCACTCAGAAAAGGAGTGATGATCATATTTAGCTGCAGTGTGTACATGGCCTGAGAGAAACAGCAGCTCTGTAGGCTTCATCATTTTCTGGGTCTGAGGGCGTTCAGGATTGGGTTCAGTTTAGGTGAGTTTGGCTCCTAATCAATGCAGACTATACATTTTACAGTCATTACATTTTCAATTGTATATGTACTTCCTTTCAAATGTTTGGGGTCAGTTAGATTTTTTTTTTTATTCAGTAAGCATACATTAAATTGATCAAAATTTACAGTAAAGACATTTACATGTTACAAAAGATTTCTTTCAAATAAATGCTCTTCATTCAATCAAAGACTCCTTAAGAACATATCATGTTTCCACAAAAATATGAAATGGCAAATGGTTTAAACTGATAATAGGAAGAAATGTGTCTTGAGCAGCAAATCAGCATATAGAATGACACTGAAGACTGGAGTAATGATGCTTAAAATTCAGCTTTGCATCATAGGAATAAATCACATTTTAAAATATATTCAAATAGAAAACCAGTTATTTTAAATTGTAATAAGATTTCACAATATTACTGTTTTTACTGTATTTTTGACTGAATAATTGAAGCCTTGGTAAGCATAACAGACTTCTTCAAAAAATATTGTACTGACCTCAAACTTTTGAACGGCAGTGTACTTTCATAGCGTTTGTCTGTCGTCCGACATTTTCATAATTCGCTCCATGTCAGTCAACACAAAGTTACATTTACTGAAATGCTAGCAAATAATCTCCAGCAACCTAGTGCACTATCATATAACATACTAGACTTGAATATTTAAGTTCTGCAAGCTGTGAAACACATTCTGTTCTGTTTTATGTGCTTACTGTCTGGCTTCTGTTGTTTTTACTGTTTGCATTGCGTTATTTTGTTGTGTTGTCATTCATTCATTCTTACTTTACTGTTTACATTCAAGTAGTGTTGACACCTATACTGTGCTTCATTTTTGTTCTGCGTGCTGCTTGCACCTCTGCTTCTACTTCTGCCAGCCACACCCACAGCAATGCAGTGCAGGGGCGGAGCCTCTCCAGGGAGGGGGAGGAGTCGGTTGGGGCGGCGTTACAGGATGAACAGGAGGAAGGAGGATTAGAGGAGGACAGAGGGAGGAAGAGAGGAGGGGGGAGGGCAGGAAAGCTGAGGAGACGGACAGATAGTGTAGACAAAGAGGAGGTGGAGCTGGAGGAGGAGTCTGAAGAGGGCGTGGCCCAGAGGACGGTCTCCGAGACGGACCTCAGGTAAACTATAGCCATGGCAACCAGCTGTATCTTATACGGTAACTACAAGACATTCCATTGGACATAAACATACTACTTGTTTATTTTGTTCATGCCTAAACAAGGTGCACTTGAATGGTTTTCAGACTTTCCAAGTTTTACCCTTAAAGTGATAGTAATTTTGGAAGAAAAAAAAAGATAGAGTATATTAATTATATTTAAAAGATTTGTCAAAAGTACTATTACTATTAGTATTTATTTATTTATATAAAATACTGGTAAATAAAACTAAATATTTACAAACATTACATCCAGTGTTATTTTTTAGTGTCATTGTGGTACTACTATAATTTTCACTAATATTTGAATTAGTTTTATTTTATATATATATCTATATATTTTAAAGTTTTAGTACATTTTTATTAGTTTTTTACAACAACAACAACAATGACAATAATAATAATAATAATTATTATTATTATTATTATTATTATTGTTTTTATTTTTATAGAGCAGATTATTTGTGCATATTTAGGATGAGAACCAAACATAACATAGTTCAGTGCTATCATGCAGAGTTGGGAATAGGGAATTGGACAGTTGTAGAATTGGGTAATTAAGTCAAGGATAGCTTCTTTATTGTGGGATGACCTAAATAATAATGTATTCCAGATATAGCTTGCTGGAAACTTGAACTAAAGCTGCCAACTCAAATCCAGTGAAATGAGTGTATAGATACAGTAGATGGCCAGCCATGGTGGCTCATGATGAATGAATCAGCCCTGTTTCAGCCCTAAGGATAAAATGTCAAAATTTGGTTGAAATTATGTTACATTGTCATTCAGTGTAACACAATATTTATGTAAAAATTCAAACAACATGCTTATTCTGACATGTACATATTGAAATATATAAAAGAATAAGGGAGTATATTACAATTTATTGGGTTTTAAATGAGTAAAAAATTCTTACTGACAAATGGGCAAAACCTAGGATAGTGGCAAATTTTAAAAATGTAAAATTACAACTAATTAGTATTTGGGGTGAAAGTAATTAGTCCTGTTTCAGCCCTATGCTGCTGCTGCTTATGTGTTTAGTGTCTGTATGGTATTTTAATGTGCTGCGACTAAAATTCAACACTCATGATGGCTTTATTTGAGGTTTATTAAGAACTTGTCATGAAATGTGTTTTATTTCAATGTCTCCAGACCTTCTAATAACCCTTTTATCCATGTGAAGGCCTCCATTCAGATACAGCTTCATACTCTGTTGATCTTATTATGCATGTTGACCTTATTTTCACGACAATTAAGCAGTCCCTGATTCTATGTTATTTAGAGTTAGATTTTGTATTTGATGTAATTTTATTTTATACTGTAGCTAACAGCCAATCTCAATTAAAATGAAAAACAGTATTTAATTTTTTTTTTCAGTTTTTGTTTTTTTTAAAGTGTAATTAGTCTTTTAATGTGTCATAAATTGATTTTTGTTGTAAATATGCCTGACAAGATTGTTACATTGAATGACATTTTAGTGGGTCTCTTCTGTAAATCTGGGAAAAATGTATGATATAAATTTTTTGCTCGGAAAAACAAAAACACAGTTGCAATTAAATTAATCAGAAAACTTTTAAATTTTTTGGGGAAAAACAACAACAATTGAAAGCAGTATTACACTTATTGTTTTTATACTTTAGCCCTTTTTCGTCTTTGACCCATATATATTAACAAAAGAGATGTATACATATATACAGAGATATGTTATTTTATGTTTATTCATTTTTATTTCATTTTTAGTTATTGTAATACATCAAGTTTAACAAAATAACAAAATATTGAAAAAGTTTTATATATTTTATTTTACTTAATTTTTATTAATTTAATGTTTTAAACAATGTTTATTGTTTATATCATTTGTTTATTTATTTATAGTTTTTATTGTAGTTTTAGTTGACTATAATAAACCTGGCTTTTTTGGTTTTGTAATGTCATTTCGTTTTTAACTTAAATATAAACTTAAACAACTTAAAGTAAAAGAAAGAATAAATAAATAAATCTTACATTACAGTAATTAGAATGAGATTTTTTATTTATTTTGCATTTACTACATTTAGTAATGAAGAACATAGGCTTAATTGTGATGAAATAATGCCAATAATGTCATGAAAAACAGGCTTAATTTTCTCTATACAAAGTATAATATCTTCTTTCTTTTGATTTCTTGATGAACTAAGATTCACCCATATATGTACCAGGGGTCCATCAGTCCAGCTCTTTCTCTCTCCGCCATATTTGTGATATTTCTGAGCTCATGTTCATCATCTCTCAGTGTTGACACTGCACTTGTCATCTGGGCCTCTGAGCGATGCATTAGACTCTGATCGAGTTTGTAATGAGGGAGATAGGAACACGATTTTCTTTGTTAATAAGTGACTGGAAGCATACACAGAC